GTATCACCCGTTAAATGCCGTGACGAGTTCTTAGCGTAACACGTAATGACGTAGGAATGCTTAAACAAGTACTAATTTTAAATGGATTGATTAAGGTTTTCTAATTTCAAATTTACCTAAACCTGTTGTATCACGTTTGACGTTGCGACCCCCACGGTCGTTTCACTATGTTACGACGATACAGGGGGACGATACAGGGGGAGCCGCGCACTTCGTGCGCGGCGGGTCATACAACGTATGACAATAAACCTGTAAGCTGACTGATTCGTGGGAAACAAACAACATAAGAACTAAGTGGTGATTTATAATGTGCGGTCAAAATAGGAAAGCATTTGATAATTATTAACCTCGAATTATAATTTGTAATCGAAATTCATAGTAACACTAACTGTGAACTGGCAAAGTTTGTCCTTAAAAATGAAAAATTCTTATTCCATCTATCATTAATACCATTTGCAAATTGTGTGTGTGTGTGTGTGTGTATGTTTGCAAATTTAGGATCAGTATGGCTTGTCGCGAATTTTGGCCTAAAAACTGTAAAATACTTATGTCCTTGCTCCAATTAGAAGTCTTGATAACTCAAACTTAAACGTTTTCCAATCTAACCAGCGCGAACAAAAGATTAAAACCGGAATACACATACTTGTTAAAAGTGAGAGCTGGAAGGATCCGACAAAGAGCAGGGTCTTTAGCATATTCGATAATAGAACTATCATCCTGCTTCATTTTAGAAAAATAATCAAGACATAATGACTACAAATTATAGATCTCACATTCAGTCAAATTTGAATTAAAATCTGATAAGAAATTCCAAAAATCAATCAATTAATAATTTAAATCAAAGATTGAAACATAAACTTAACTTTAAGATAAATGTAAGAGCTTTTGTGGAGTAAAACTGTAGTCTAACAGGACAAATCCACTCCGCAAAAATCGGGAGTCATCTATTTAAATTTTCCCCATCGACTTTTCGAGGAAAAAGGCACACATTTTTTCGCCATCCATTAATTGCAATAAAGTCGAAGAAATTATTTCACGTTTTTCAACGTGAGAGTTTGCAAATATTCCCGAATGTAATAGTTTAAAATGTAAATTGATAAACAATAAATTAACCGATTGTTAACCAATAAAGCTGATAACTGTGTCGACTCATTGGTAGAAAGTCAGAGAAGAATTATGAAAAATGAGACGCGACTGAAGAATGTAATAACAGACGATTGTGATAAGTATCGGAGAAAAATTTCATAAAAATTGCGCCATAAAAGAGAAAGCATTAAACATGCCTATCACTGATTTGTTACTAGTAAGACTGTATAACTGTGTAAGCTAACATTGCACAACGAATGTAACTAGCCTCGCCCAATAAACCACTGAGCCAGAAGTGTAGCCAAACTTAGTTTCATATTAATATCAAACATTACATGTTAATTACATATTCAATTCTTATTTCCTAACAAAAAAGGTGTTAAATCCCACAGAGATGCTTTTGAATTCAGACAAAGCGTTTTAAGTTAGCGGCAATACAGAGATTGGAGCTAACTGATTAAATAAAATATTGAGAATCTAACCACTCTTTTGCGAAGAGTTTGAAAAATTTCGAACCTCTATAAACTCTGCCTCCTCTTCCTCTACCAATTAAATTACAAAGAAGTTTAAGCAATGTTTAGTGGCTGGCAAGAAAGCAAAGTTAATTCGTGGAATTAATTACAACAGCATGTTGACCGGCAGCACCGTAGAGCCAATAATAGAGAGGAATTAATCAGTTAATCAGGTAACGCATTAGTGCAGCAGGGCCGCATTAATCACTATCAGACCTGGGGAGATTGAAACATCCGCCTTGAGGAGTAAGGAGCAAATCAGTTGGACGGCAAACTCGGGATCCAAACAAAAGGTCTTACCGGCTACACGGTGTTCAATTTATTATAGCAGAGCTACATGATACATTGTTTATTATAGCAGGGCTACATGGTACATTGTTCATTATATCAGAGCTACATAGTACATTGTTTATTATAGCAGAGCTACATGGTGCATTGTTTATTATAGCAGGGCTACATAGTACATTGTTCATTATATCAGAGCTACATAGTACATTGTTTATTATAGCAGAGCTACATGGTGCATTGTTTATTATAGCAGGGCTACATGGTGCATTGTTTATTATAGCAGAGCTACATGGTACATTGTTTATTATAGCAGGGCTACATGGTGCATTGTTTATTATAGCAGGGCTACATGGTGCATTGTTTATTATAGCAGGGCTACATGGTGCATTGTTTATTATAGCAGGGCTACATGGTGCATTGTTTATTATAGCAGAGCTACATGGTACATTGTTCATTATAGCAGAGCTACATTGTTTATTATAGCAGAGCTATATAGTACATTGTTTATTAAATTATTATAGCAGGGCTACATAGTACATTGTTCATTATAGCAGAGCTACATAGTACATTGTTTATTATAGCAGGGCTACATGGTACATTGTTTATTATAGCAGGGCTACATGGTACATTGTTCATTATATCAGAGCTACATAGTACATTGTTTATTATAGCAGAGCTACATGGTGCATTGTTTATTATAGCAGGGCTACATAGTACATTGTTCATTATATCAGAGCTACATAGTACATTGTTTATTATAGCAGAGCTACATGGTGCATTGTTTATTATAGCAGGGCTACATGGTGCATTGTTTATTATAGCAGAGCTACATGGTACATTGTTTATTATAGCAGGGCTACATGGTGCATTGTTTATTATAGCAGGGCTACATGGTGCATTGTTTATTATAGCAGGGCTACATGGTGCATTGTTTATTATAGCAGGGCTACATGGTGCATTGTTTATTATAGCAGAGCTACATGGTACATTGTTCATTATAGCAGAGCTACATTGTTTATTATAGCAGAGCTATATAGTACATTGTTTATTAAATTATTATAGCAGGGCTACATAGTACATTGTTCATTATATCAGAGCTACATAGTACATTGTTTATTATAGCAGAGCTACATGGTGCATTGTTTATTATAGCAGGGCTACATGGTGCATTGTTTATTATAGCAGAGCCACATGGTACATTGTTTATTATAGCAGGGCTACATGGTGCATTATTTCTATAGCAGGGCTACATGGTGCATTGTTTATTATAGCAGGGCTACATGGTGCATTGTTTATTATAGCAGAGCTACATGGTGCATTGTTTATTATAGCAGAGCTAAATAGTACATTGTTTATTATATCAGAGCTACATGGTGCATTGTTTATTATATCAGAGCTACATAGTACATTGTTTACCTCACATATCTAATCCTACATCAGGAGGAACAAGGATAGTTGTTTAACATCTGAATGGTGGTGGTAATATTACCACGAATACAAGTCCCTCTCCCCTCTACTACTAGTACTCTATTAGCAAGTTTATACATGGTTTACATAAGCTTCAGTATTTCGATCAAGTTAAAACCACCCTCCAATATGATAGTGGCGTTATATGTGGACACTACCTAGTCCCTATTGCAATTCAATCTCACATACCCTATTCCAAATTCTAGTCAAGCAATCAGCTACACCCGTCAGCTGCAGTTCTTCCAAGTTACCTTATTGCAGTCTACAAACCTGGGATAATGTGTATGTGAGAATATCCCCGGTCAATATTCCCATCATATCATTCTGAACCTATTTGTCAAACACGATTGCATTGTCGTGGATCGTGCTAAAAGCATTGCTGAGGGATTATTCTATAATTTCAGAACATGAGGACATGTTGGTAATGTCCCCGTGCCGATACGACGAATGGATCTCTGATCAGCATAATAGAGCTATTATAACATTAAATCTGAGCCCCTTTATAAAAGGTTACCCGTGTTAACGGTTTGCTGAGATCTGCTGATCTCACGCTGGGAGTATTGAGGCAGCTGGGTCCTGATTTATAGTCCCCAGTCATATAGCAGGATTTTATAGTGGCATTACGTAACCTCGTCAGATCGCAAATCTCAATCTAGTCCCCCAGCTTCTGATGTTATACGCTTATCAGAAACTAATATTTAACAGTCAGTACCGGTAATTATACTAAAGCTCGTCATCTCCGGAGATTGGGCGGTATATTGAGATATATTGATCAAGGTTGTTAGTCTGTCTGGACATTACATAATGCTCGAGGGAGGGTATATAAAACCTCTTCACTCCTCTGTCCAATACTTGGTACTTGCTCTCTAGGAAAGAAAGCAGTTTTCTCAAGTGCTTCCAAAACTAAGCGGCTGTCCAGGAAGCCAACAAGGGGTCAGGTAAGCCACTACAAGGAGAGAAGGTGTTTTGTGGGTAACAATCTAGATAATCGTCTCCTGGCATCTTCTCTCACCCAATCTCCGGGCAGTGGTGATATCACGTGATCAACTACGACATCATACTTGCTCCGAATATTGTTTTTGCATAGTTATTAGCATTGGCAATACTATAACTTGTCGGCCACTTTACCAAACCACAGCTTTTAATTTTTCCTTGCTTTGCAATGTTTATAAATTCACCCCATTGAAAAATGCAACAGATAATTTTCACTCCGATAGTACTTAATATTAAACCTCTCCTGGTGCCATTTCATTTTAACAACTCTCGTGGCTTAACCTATACTTTATACTAGGTACTGAAGGCAACATGGCTCGGTTAATCAAATCAATTATGCTGATAACTGTTTGGGCTGGGTTAATCCTCCAAGTGCTCGGTGAATCGGTAAGAACTATCTCTAGTAATACTTATAAGCTAAATTAAAAGCTAAGCCAATTGCCGGGAAAAGAATGTTTTTTATGAAAATTGCAATTTGGAACAAGTTCAACCAAAATGATAATAGCATCATGAACAGATTACAAATAGATTCGCACAAGCTGGAAAAAGTATGTTGTAATTTGCTTTATTACCACTCTGTTTCACCTCTCCAAAAATATCTTGCTGCACACAATTGCCTCGATAATTCTGGGATACAATGAAATAATTATAATTGCACTATGGTTAGTTAATTACTAATTGTAAGATATTTACACTTACAGGCACAGCACACCCGATACGTAAGGGAGTCTCAAGAGGAAATTCTGCATAAACGAGACATTGGAGACGAAATTCTACATAAACGAAACGCTGGAGACGAGATTCTACACAAGAGGGGAGCAGAAGATGAAGTGCTGCACAAGATGCCGAGGGGATCAGAAAATGAAGTCCTGGAGGAAGAGGATAACTTGATATTGCATAAACGGGCAATGGGAGAGGAAAACAGTCTTCAAGAAGTTCTTCACGGGGAAGAAGAGAACAGAGGTAAACGTCGGGCGTACCGGCCATTTAACGGGAAAAGAAAACAATTTCTCAACACGAAATAGCTCTTATTAGGCTTGGACACACTGGACAATGGGTAACAAAATTACAAGGGACATTTTCTGATAAGATTGTTTTTCAACTTGGAAAATGGGAGCAGACAATTATCTTTATCAATTAACGATATTGCAGCTGAAAAAGTAATATTGTATGCATAGAATTTCTCAGATTGATGATCATCCCCATTATTCGGTTTTCAAATATCACTAACAGGAATTTTGCGTTTTATTTGGTGAAATTTACGAGTTTTGGCATTTTGTTTGCAATCCCAGTCACAACTTCTGAACAATCATGTTGAAATAACATACCACCAATACCACGGAAGGTCAATCAGGGCTCCTGTAATACTCAACATATCTCATTTTTCTCCGCGTACTACCAGAAACCATAACCAATCTAACTGGAAAAACAAATTTAGTTATTGTTCAGTGTTTCTTCTCAGTTACTTGTTTGTTTTATCTGCTGTCATATATATCTTAATAAAGAACAGTGTCATTTAGAATAACATCCATTTAGGTGAAGATCTCGTGATCTGATAAGTTTTCATTGGCAGAACATCTGAATTTCCTCTATAAGAGTTCTCAGCCTGATCTGTTTCTCTTCTATCAGCTCGTACACTGTTTCTGCCTCCTCCTGGAATTAATTTCCAGGGTTAGTTAAAAGGTTGAATAACCGAGAGGGGTTTTAAGCGGCAAGAGAGGGGTTTTAAGCGGCAAGAGAGGGGTTTTAAGCGGCAAGAGAGGGGTTTTAAGCGTCAAGAGAGGAGTTTTAAGCAGCAAGAGAGGGGTTTTAAGCGGCAAGCGGCACACTTAATACAAAATTATCTTGATAGTATAGCTAGATATCGAACAAAGAGATCAAAATTAGATCACTACTTTAAAAAATAAACTAAATAGCGATGAAGAAATTTAATTTACGGGACAACAGTGGATAGCTTGTAGGTAAAATTGCTTCATAGAAGGATTTTCCTTGATGGATCGAATGAGAACACTTTTCAGGGACTTTGTATCGTACTTCTGAAAAATATTTAATTTAATCTAAGTTGCGCTAGTTATTGTTTGCAGTTTCAATAGTCTTTCTTCACATGACATATTATTATCTTGAAAATGACTTCAAATACAATTCACGATTTCATTAGTTTCCAGTTTACTGACCTGCGAGATATGAGTATAAAGCTCCCACAATAGTAGCGAGCGAGGGAAGGTATCAACAGAGGTGACCGCCAGGGATATTATCCGGTTAGTCAGGTTGATATCCGGGTGAGTTTCCTGCTTGTCACACTCGTGTGTAACTCTGCAGTACCACATTGTTTCTTGGTTGCTCTTTAATAATCTGGATATGATGGAGGGGTGAGGAGGGTAGCTACGATCATAATCAGTTTAACAAATAATCACAAACTTGAAGAAAAAAAGCATCTATATCTACCTAATACTTCATCAAAACGATTCCTTCTCTAAGCTTCCATTACAATACATTTACGAAAACTTGAATAAAGTTCAGAATTGTGAATATTGCCATCTTATAATACCTTTCCCATATTTTACTAGTCATTGTCACATGTTTCTTTAAAAGGTCCCAGAACATTTGTATCTGAGGAAACTGCTCCACTGCTAACAGGGCTACCTGCAAAATGCAATATTTTTGGATAAGTAGAATTTCCAAGGAACGTAAGAATAATATGTAAACGTATTATTCACTGGAAATCCACGTATTCTAATTTCCGAACAATACTTAAATCAAACAGCAAATTGAAATACAAAAGAGTTAAATATCCTTAAATGAACTGAAATACAACCATGCTAAACACCACAAGATCACACCTTCCTTAGAATGTTGGTATCTGCCTCGTCACCACGCTTCAGCTCGGTCTGTATGACGTGTCTGAAGAGAACCAACAAGTCCACTTGGATCTGGTCACGTGGCAGCCCCGACTCCACTAATCTACCCACGTGGGCTAACAGGTAGGGTCCTTGTTCTGGTGAGAGGGGTGAGAGGGTGGTGTAGTTGGAGCAGAACAGGTTGGTAGCGTACGTGCCCAGGTGGAGGGTCTCTGTCGTGCTAAAATTGTAATTAGGGGGTTATGATAAAATAATATTAGTTAAAATCTAAATAACTTACAATTTAACAGTTATGAATATCGGTAAGGAGAGTTCTGAATAGCACCAATCATAATGTGAGTAGAAGCGCTTTTGTTAAAATAGTAATAGTGTACAAGTCTGATACTGCATTACACCATTCTTATTAGCAAACAATTCTCTCAGGCAATACTTTTGTTTTCATCTATAGCCGATAATACCGTAGATTGTAGAATGGGGGAACTTCGCCATGTTTTACAGCTATTTCATGTTATTTAGAAAATACGACACGAGTACTTGAAAAAGTTTATAGCTCATATGAACAGGATTGGTAAAACAAATGTTTTCGTATGAACCACATCAGCCACGCATAAATAGTCAGCTAGATTGGTGCCACTGAAATCAGGGCGAAGTTACCCTGCGATATGGGGTAACTTCGCCATTCTGAAACTATACCATATTCGGTGCTAAGCACCATGATACCACTCGAAACTCAATTATATATCCTTGATACACCTGCCAATTTTATTTATCTAGCTCTAGCCTGCGTGTTACAATGGGCAATTTAGTCGCTGGGGTAACATCGCCATGCTGCGGGTAACATCGCCGGGATGAAGTAGAAATGTAGTCGAACTTCGCCAATACGAACAACGTTTTAAGGGTAACTTCGCCATATTCGCAAATCCCGCAAATTTGCACTCACAAGACAACAGGACCAATCGGGTCCGGTATGATAGCCATCATACGAGGTATTGCACGACGTACAAGCATTTTCATTGCGGTCTAGACTGTCCGTCGATACAATGAACAAGACATATATGCTAATGATGCCACACAGAATTTATTAAGGATATAATTGGAAAATATGGGAAATATGCAAGCCGAAAGTTTTAGCCACTTAGTTGCATTATGTCATGTTGCCTGAGGTTACTTAACATAGTGAAAGTTTATTTTTGAATAGGAATACCTTCATAACCATTTGTTTAACACAATACTGCACAAAAACTCGATCTCCTAACAATTCAAAACAGTAAAATGATTATTTGAAAAATAGTGGCGAAGTTCCCCGACACGGCGATTTTACCCCAATCTACGGTACTTAAATAGGCAATTATTATTACGTACTGTCTAGATGACAAAATACGACAATAACACACTGTTTCTATAGCCACCTCATTATAAATCCTCATTATAAGTTGTTTTGTATTGGGCGTCGTTCAAGCAAAAAACCGTCCATAAATCTCTGTAGTCTGTAGTCTGTGGCCATTGTATTGTTAGGAGCACTTATACCAAAACTGATTTCCATTTCATTATCCTAAGTACAATTTGGTTAAAGTATCTTGGTGGCAAGACACTAAGGGCGGGGACAATGTAAGTCTGACGAGTTTATAACATTGTAGCAAGTACCTTTGTGTTTTCGTCACGTTTTATCCCAGTACCAGTCTCGGCCATACTACTACTACTACTATGTCGGAACTAAGTCTGATCTACGCCAGATAACCCCCTCCCCCCCCCTTCATATATCCCTGCATTACACCATGTTTATTAGCAAACAATTCTCTCAGGCAATACTTTTGTTTTCATCTATATTCTATAGCCGATAATACTTAAATAGGCAATTATTATTACGTAATGTCCATGAAAAAATCCGACAATAACACACTGTTTCCAGTCACCTCATTATAAATCCTCATTATAAGTTGCTTTGTATTGGGCATCGTTCAAGTAAAAAACCGTCCATAAATCTCTGTAGCAAGTAGCTCAGGATGTCTGATGCAGTGTCCCGTCAATTTTAATCTCCTGCTTCGTAACTTGTTTGACAGCCTTGGTAGGCTACCATACAAAGTTATATTGCTGACCTTGTCCTTCCATGAGATACCCAGCGCCATACGCAGCATCTTTGTGTATGTCCCGTCCAAACTTTTCTCTTGAAGCCTTTGTCAGTGTCCAGGTTTCTGATCCGTAGAGCAGTACTGACTCACAAGCCGCTACGAACAATCTAATCTTAAGGCTCTCTGAGAGTTTGGATTTCCAGATATCCTTCAGTCTATGTAGGGCACCCCACGCTTTTCCCTTTCTAACCCTTATCTCCCTATCTGTGCTCTCAATCCAGGAGCCTAAGTAGATGAAATCATCCACATTTTCTATGGCTTTCCCAGATCGACTTAAGAGGTCGCTAGATCGATCCTCCATATTCAATGTATCCCAGTACCGGTCTCGATATTTAGTTGATATTTATTGCCATTATTATAGAAAGGCTTATATTACTGTTTACACCTAATTTAGCTAAAATATAGCTTTAATTACTAATTTGAGGACGGCCAACACAATGGTGATATTTATTTTTATCATGACTTAAGTTTTAGCTATCTTTAAGCCCATGCCCATGCCTATTTGACCAAAAATTGGGGAATAAATGGGCATGGGTTGAGTTTCAACAAATATTGCTTGGTACGAATTTGAAAGATTGAGATATAAGAACCAAGACGTAGAATAATAGATTAAAAACTGTCACATTTGAGAGAATCGGAATCACGAACGTCCTCTTCTTCAAAAGCTCCCCCAAAATTATTTCCTGGATCCGGTTTCTTGACCTCCTGGAACTACAAGATATTTTATTGCTACAGTATTAGCTATTAGGCTATAGCTATGTGATATTTCTGAAATAATATTATAGAATGCAGTGTCAAATACCTATCATACTAACCTAATACTTCAAATTTAAAACAATACCTTCATTATATCTATTTATTCTTTAATTGACTGAGCGGTGTATATATTTGTCACTTTTTAGAGTAACATTTTTTATGTGTGAGTTGAATCTTCTTTTTTTTTAAATGAACATTAACTTTTGCTGGAGACATATAGACATATACATGATCCCAATCCCTAGTATCTGTAGCCTCTCAAATAAACTGTAGCTGTATACACGCATAGGTGAAAATAAGTTCAAAAAGTGGCACCTTAACGTAAGCTAAAATTTTTTTAACCTGGCTATTTTTGCGAGAGATTTTTACCTTTGCGGCTAGGGCTATCGTTGAATTTTTTATTTTAAAAGGTTTTTGCAACATCAGTTTAAGTTATTATTAATTTTCTGGGGGTTTCTCCATGTGCTTGCTGTGACAAGATGATCAGGGCCCCTGCAAATTTTATGCAGTTTAGAAACGCTTTGAAAATAAATAAATGAGAGAGCAGGTTCTGGAGAGAGATCACTGGAATGGTGGCCACAGGTTGAAAATGTGGAGCAAAATGATAAATTTTATTGCTCTCTAGGACTTCCAAACAATTAAATTTCCTTCTGGTTAATCTCTTTACTTGAAAGTTTTTCAAAATGTAACCAGGCTTTGAACTTTTAACGTAAGGAGGGGGCCTGAAAAGGTACTTATTTACAGTGGTGTATACACGTTAGATTTCTATCTGCTAACCACTTCTCTATCAATCATTCAACCTACTTTATCAACGTCACAATTTTCCCACCATTTTATTTTCTCACCATGGATGGTATCTTAGTGATTCTGCTATGGTATCTTAGTTATTATGCACAATAGAAGCGTAATTTTGATTATAATATATTCATTTTCAAAAACATTCCAGCTTATTCATCGTCTAACTTGTGTAATTAATAAACATTGCTGGAATACCTAAGCCGAATTAACTGAAGTCACCAAAATTATTAATGGGTCAGTTTAGTCATGATATAGTTCTTTAATATCTATAGTTTTTGGTATTAAAAAGCACGGTGATAAATAATTATAAAATTGCAGGTAAAAAATCTTCAGTAATCAGTATCTCAATCTTTACTCTTGCAGGACTGAGTTGAACGACTGAAATTCAGCCGCCACAGTTCCCACGGTATTGCAACAAGAGCGCTGTGACAAAACTTGTTTTATTTGTTACCCATTTAATTGAGTAATTTGTCCGTTTCTTAATTTGAGCTAAAAATGTTTATTTTTAATTTCGAGTTTTGTTGTTCTATTACTGCTCATTTTTGTCCAGGCCAAAACTATCGAAACCATCTTTAACCGTTTTCAAGACATAGTGTGATAATTCATATTTAGCTCAATTTTAACCTTCAAGCGGGTAGAATAATCCTCACATATAATATGGCTAAAACCTCCGTCCCAACATCCCCCCCCCCCCCCTTCGGGAACCTTCAGCAATTCAGAACCCCTCCAGGATTCACATTAAGCTGCTAACCAACTATGTAAACGATTCCTAATAATACCAGTCCCTGCCCAGCCCAATTCTGCTTGAAATGAAATTGTAATTTACTCAGATAATTAGAAACAGCTATGGCAGAAGACAGGATGGAATCCGAGTCAATGATAAGCGCAGAGGAGAGATCCAATAAAAAGCACTATGTGTGGATTTGTGTGTTTTCCTTGCTGATAATCTCCATTGTGACTGCGGGTATCCTATATTACTTCTTATCCGTTAAAAAAGAAGGTAATAACTTTGTTACTGACTAAAAGTAAAACAAAACACCATTCAATATTGACCAGAAGGTGGCTGATATAGCGAAATAACTTGTTCGAATAGTACCAGTTTTTATATTTTCCAATACTATTCATGTCTCCTTTTTCAGGAGGCCGAGAAGAAGCAGATGTTGCAACTGTTGACGCAACTATTGGGCCTGAGGTGAACGAGCATCAGGATACCATGTCTCCGTCCGCGCCGGAGGATTTAATTTTACCAGCGACAAAGGCTACCACAAGCCAATGTTCAAATGATGATTTTGCAAATATCTTTTCTCCAACATCATTTGATGAACGTACCAGGAGATGCCTGCAGTCTTCCTACGACTACAAGTGGAACTGCAGTTGTAGTCATAGTAAGTAAATAAATCATAGGTTAATTACCAAAGATAGAATCTTAAGTGACCTTTACGTTTCGTGCAAAGAACCACATAAAGCCAAAAAATCATACAATAGGCACTTAGAATATCTTACATCACCATTAACGTAACAGATCCTAAATAACTTCAGATTGCTCCGCCTTCAGGAAGAGTATACGGAAACAATGCGAGAGGAGTAACGGTGCTGATAAGGAGTCTTGTTGTAAATATTCGTATTGCAAAAAGAGCATTAGATGTTCTCGGTAGTGAATAATATTCGTGAAATAGCGTACAGTAATTTTGGAAACTGATTTTAACTTTAATTTTTAAACAGTATTTCACTTTTTCCGCCTGAATTTAATGATTAAATCTGGTATTTCAGGGAATTTTAGCAGCTTCATTACTTTGTTTGTTATTTTGACTTAACTTTTTGTTTATTTGTATGCTGATTTTGAATATCATTTACGTATTTCCGTGTTATATAAAAGCTTGAATGTAGTAAGTTTGGAATGTGAATATTTGAACCTTGTTTAACAGATTTTGTTTTTTAACCTGTTGGACGGTAACTGTCGATCCGAACAACTAATTACAATTATGACTTTAGCACTATCATTCTCGCTTCAAATATGATTATTCGGAAAACTAATTATCAATACTTCTATACCAGTGTGTGTTTTTTCGGTTGTAACTTGTGAAATATTTATTTGACACCTTTAGAACCTTGAAATTATTTAAGCTACTTAATAAAGTGCATATTTTATTTAGTAAAATGGAAGTTGTCTTCAAAGTTGTGACTCTAAAGCGTCACTTAAAATAGTAATCCACGTTAAACTCTGAAACATAATAGCACAATGTGAAGTATTGTATAATAACTTAAATGCCCAATTGTTTTATACTTACTAGGCTAACTATAACTCCCAACTCCCAATTTGGTTTCTATACACTATTACACTTGCTAGGGTCGCTATGACAATATGCTCTGCCGTGCATGTTGGGCTAATTTATTACGACCGGACCTGATCAAATGGTATTTAAATAATGGGCACAGCTATATGAATGATCATTCGATTACGATTCCTCCACATCCTCCAACTTCTACAGCAACAGATGACAGATCAACGTACCTTCACGATCATTCGGCGAACAACCGCGCGCAACCAGCAACAACCTACTCCACCTTGGGTTCAAATACTCAATATATCAAGTAATTTTCTAACAACTATGTAGACCTTAATTAAAAATTTTAATCTATTATTTTGTAACTCTCGTAACTCATGACAAATTCAATTAATGAACTTGTCCATATATAGCACGTTATTGCTAAACAGTGGCCTGCCCGGATATGTGATGTTATGAGAAAAATGATGCTTTACAGTGCGGGAAATTATAGGATGGGGGTTTTAAGAAAAGCTCCCGAACGTGGATATACGACCCAACGTGAGTAAACTGACTTATGTCCCCCAACTCCCTCTGTACGTTTTGGTGCGTTCTCAACTGAAGTCAGTTAAATTTCGGTCACATTGTCTCTCAAATACCATGAATTGCACATGATATTGAGATCTCCTACTCAACTAACCGTTTTACCTTACCCAATACCGAATACGGTACGTACTTGGACATTCACATAACGGATAAAACTATATTTTTAACGGCCAGGTAGCGCAGTTGGTTAGAACGCCTGTCTTACAATCGTTAGGTTGCGAGTTCGAAACCCACTGACTGCCTGGTCGTGGGGTGAGCGTCGTCGACGTTCAGCTAAGGATCATGAGTGGTCTATGCAGCCCCCCGGTCTACTCAGCCGAATACTCGAGAAATCGGGTGTGAGGGTTAAATGAGGAGCTGCACATTGCAGCAAAGTCTCGGACGAAGAAAGTATGGTACACACTACCTTAACCGTCACTGGCCAAAAAGATCCTTCGGCTTCCTGTAATTGGCTGGTTGCACTTGTGTAACATTGTGGCTGTTGGAATACACCGAAGTAAAATAAGTGTCTAGATAAAAAAAATATCTCAGCTTTATGGTACAAAAACAGCATTTGAGAAGTTAAATTTGTAGTTAATAACACTGGAAACGCCCACTTAATTCCGTTTCCTCATTTTATCATTAAACATATGTACATTCCTGCATCTGTATCAGTCAGTTCATTCCAATTGCGTGTATTTGTGTCGCTACTTTCAACATATCACCCCCCTCTGTACTTTTTGGTGCGTTTTCAAATGAAGTCAATTTAATTTCGGTCACATTGTCTCTCAAATTCGATGAATTGCACATGACACCACACATAATAATATAGGATATGACTTCTCAGAAAATATTCAAGAAACATTATATCGAGATCTCTTACTCAACGAACCGTTTTACCTTGCCCAATACGGACTTGGACATAACTGATAAAACTATAACACAAAGTTACACACTTATACGTCATGTGTGTATACCAACCGTTACCATGATCAGAGTGACAAAACATTAGTCTAATCAAAGTTCAGAATCAGAGTTCAGAGAATATAATCAGAGTACTCACAAAGGGTGATTTTCAGCATTCTGGATCTTCTATAGCCTCTCAAGCGAGGTATAAGTAGTAAATATCAGGTGCATTTCTTTTAGAAGTAAGTCAAGCTTGAATACAAATTACGCTAGGACACCACCAACATTCATGCCACCAAAATGAACACCCACACAGTAAACCACTTGTAATATTCAGGGGATGGGACAAACATTTCTATTAAATTCTTTTATTAAAGAGAGGGTCACTCTCTCAAAATAGCTACCAGATTGTTTGTAAGGTCGATCTATGATAGTACCTATATCATCAACGTTGTAGATTATACCGTGTTTGATAAATGAATTTGATACGTTTGATCACTCCCTTTACTCCCTTTATTTCTTTTGCTGAACTATTTGCTAGGACAGAGAAAGGTCTGGACTGTGGACGGTTGGAAACGGATTTGTATTTCTCTATTAGTTTCAGTCTCCTGGCTTAAGATATAATTTTTTCTGTTGAAAAATAGTCTCACTAATATACTACTCTTCTCTCGTCCCTTGTTTATAACTATTATTTAATAATAATTCTCATCAAGATGGCTCAGAGCATATTATCAAAATCCTCGAAATATCGTCCGTTTAAAGATCTTTACTGTAGATAATATCTATACTAGTATACTGTATAGTATACTGTATCTATACTAGGAATATAATTTGGTGGAACACTCAGGGAAGTTAGTTCCCCCCATTCATTGCCAGAGAAAGACGTCTATAGTCCAGCTCAGGTATTCTATCCTGGATGATGTTAGATTCTCAAAATGTAACAATGTTTAATGTTAGCTCTATTTTACAACCTTGATCAGTTTGTTAAGTTCCAGCGCTTTTTAGCCCAAAAAACTTTGCACCACACGATTCTTCTACCAATAGTATAAGTAACTTACTTTGATTACAATTTTAAACCAGCAATGAGTCCAGAGGGGAGAGAATCCGGGTCATTAATAAGCGAAGGAGGAAGATTAATAAGAAAGCACTATGTGATCATATGTCTCTTTTCCATGGTTTTTATCACCGTTCTGACTGTCGGTATCCTAATATACTGCTCCGTTCATTACACAGGTAACGAAGTTATAGTATTAGTAAGTGATACTTACATTTAGCATTATTAATCATTGAATTGTAGTTGATAAGGCAATTAATAAGACAATAAGGGTTGGGAGCGGTTATAATCCGGTGAAATATATTCAATCTCTTACATACTCACTACAACGTAATGTTCTAATAGTACCAGTAGTTGTATTATGTAATGTTCTAATAGTACCAGTAGTTGTATTATGTAATGTTCTAATAGTACCAGTAGTTGTATTTTGTAATGTTCTAATAGTACCAGTAGTTGTATTATGTAATGTTCTAATAGTACCAGTAGTTGTATTTTGTAATGTTCTAATAGTACCAGTAGTTGTATTATGTAATGTTCTAATAGTACCAGTAGTTGTATTTTGTAATGTTCTAATAGTACCAGTAGTTGTATTATGTAATGTTTTAATAGTACCAGTAGTTGTATTATGTAATGTTTTAATAGTACCAGTAGTTGTATTTTGTAATGTTCTAATAGTACCAGTAGTTGTATTATGTAATGTTCTAATAGTACAAGTAGTTGTATTTTGTAATGTTCTAATAGTACCAGTAGTTGTATTTTGTAATGTTCTAATAGTACCAGTAGTTGTATTTTGTAATGTTCTAATAGTACCAGTAGTTGTATAATGTAATGTTCTAATAGTACCAGTAGTTGTATTATGTAATGTTTTAATAGTACCAGTAGTTGTATAATGTAATGTTCTAATAGTACCAGTAGTTGTATAATGTAATGTTTTAATAGTACCAGTAGTTGTATTATGTAATGTTTGAATAGTACCAGTAGTTGTATTATGTAATGTTCTAATAGTACCAATAGTTGTACCAGTAGTTTTATTTGCTTGAAATACTTATTTTCCTTTCCAGCACCTTCAGTTACTCCTGGACCGGTTTTGTATGGAACAGTGACCGTAGAGCCATCGACAGACAGGACAACAAACCAATGTACAGAGGAGGATTTCAACAGAAGTTTTGAAGGAGAACTTGATGTCCGGACCTTCAATTGCCTGCAGAATTGGTACACTTACAAGTGGGCGTGTGACTGTAAATATGGTAAGAAAATTACCATAGTTACCATAGTTACCATAGTTACCATAGTTACCATAGTTACCATAGTTACCATAGTTACCATAGTTATCATCTTTAAGTTACCACAGAGATCAGAGGGACAGGGCAAATAGGGAAATGATAAAGCCAGGCCTTCAAAGCATAACCCACTAAGCAGGAACCTCTAAATCAATTTTAAGATTTATTCTAGAGATATTTTAATACATGGCTTGGTACAGTCTACTCACAATGAGCAGTTCGTGTCACCTGAAGTTCCTTGTTTACATGTTGTTCTTACCACTCATATCCTTATTGATTTCAGAGTGTGGCAGTTACAATAAGAAGATGAAAAAGAAATGCAGCAAGAATGGTAAATTTGAATTTGAGTCTTGTTGTTTGTATGCGTATTGCAAAAAGGGTGCAAGGTCAGAATCTATAAAATGCAAGTAGAAAGGAAATTTAGCGTTAAAAGGTTAAATAGTATTTGAAAACAAATTGTAACTTATTCGACTTTTTAAGTTTCAATTAGTTTTGCTACATATCAGAATATTCTAGCACTCATGTTACTTTATTTTTTGAGTTTTGTGATATAATAGTTTTGAACATGCTAATTTCTGTTTCAAAGCTTGTTTTTACTTCACTTAAAAATTATCCCATTTGAAAGTTTTCAGTTATAAACATATCAACATTTAAATCTTTTGAACAGATTTCGTCATTTTTATACTGTGTAAGGCGGTTTAACAGTCGATGCTTTTTCTCATAATTTGCAAATTGCATTATTGATACTGAGTAACAAATTATAACATAGCTGGTTCTAATTTGTTTGAAAGTTTAGCATTATTATTTTTATTGCAGCACTATCATTAGAACCTACTTGGACAACAAAATGTGAAGTACTAGAGAGTTTACTCTAGCAGTTTTCTTAGTTAGTAACCTAAATAGTAAATATGCCTAATACCTATTTAATAAGATGTTTTGAACTTGATGGTATTTTAGTTATTTTAGTCGTGTAAATTATTTTGTTATATCTTATGCAATATCTTTGCCGCATAGTAGCGGGGTAGTAAATACTGTATTTCGTTTCCT